AAAGTAACATCAAATAAGTTATGGAGTTTTATTTAAATAGATATGAATGTACATGTCACATTGTCAGTATGGTGTTGGATTAAAAAAAAAAGATGATTGATAAATACTATAATAAAAGAGAGATGTTGCACAAAATAAGCTGCCATTCTCTTTATTAAACATAAAGCTACATAATGGGCTTCTCTGCTTTGTCCACCGCAGGTATCGAAACCTGATTTTTAGCATTGCAATCTCTCACATTCACCACTGAACCACCAGGGGACTAATCTGCAGGTTTTAAAATTGTATAACGTATACTATTACTAAGCCCTAGTACATCCTATCCTTAAACTGAAATATGTTAGTTTACAGCATTAACTGCAGTTATCCATTTTTGTCGCCTTTCAGAAAATGCTTAGCAGAAGTAAAATTTTAAAACTGTATACCACGCGTAGTTTCTTCTTCGCACAATTCTAGTAAAATAACTGCACAACAATTAAAGATAAAATTCTGTAATTTTTAGGATAAATTAATTAATGTATTTAATTACACAACAGCAGGAATTGTTGGCCATCATTCAGCTGAATGTGGATAACATATATTTGTAATACATTTTATTACTACTACTAAGTTTACTACCAATAGTAACTGTCTATTGATGATCTTTTTTACTCACCAAAACGAGAATTTCAGTGAAGAAAAGGAGATGTAGAAGTCTAAAAGACTATACATCAAAAACAAACAAAAATAAAATATAATAGTACTGTCTGTTGTATGTCCATATAACTACTTCGCAGGGTGTGGATGGATCTTCACCAAAATTAGTATGGAGGTTCAATGGGTCCATAGGGAGATACATGCAAATTTGCGATTTCACATTTTATGTTTTACAGTTTTTATGGGCGTTTTTGTATTTTTTTACAATTACATACAAAGGAAGCAACTTCTCATGTCCTAAGACAGCCTTTAATTAACCATGAATTTACATAACTTCCGTCCACGGGACGGGTACTCCAGCTAGTTTTTAACAACTTCCCAATAGTAATAAAGTGATACTAACACTACTCTACAGTACAAAATACAATAACAGTATCCTAATATTGGTAATGTTAGTTTTAGTGGCATAAAAAAAGCCACTTAACTATTAATCTTAGCACATAAAAGTTAACCAACAATCAACGATTTGATGCAAAAAATTAAAGCCCATTTTTTATACTGTGCATCTTCAACAATAATTAGAATAAAGCTAGCGCTATTCGTATAATGTATTACTACTAGTAATAATAGGTTACTAATGTTCAAGTCTATTTTCACTTATACTGTTAAAGTTTAATGTTACTCGTTAGTAATACTACTAAGTGCTTTATAACTTATTAGTATAATACCAAAACGTCATAGATCTTTGCTATACTACTAGTGCTATCGTCTTTTCAGTACACCCAGCCTGCCAACAACTGTAGTGTAGTCTAGACTAAACTCCGATATCATATAGTGTACACCACATAATAAACTTGTCAATGGTAATATTTTTAATTAGGTAAAATACTTGCATTAGGAATTATAAAAAAAGGACATAAGTAACTCCAACTCTACAAAGTACAACTTTACTTTAAAGATGAAAAGACTTACCAGTTATAACAACTATTCCAACTATTCGATCCGACTTCCGTCACCACCCATAAATGTCTGTCAGTACAGTGGGCGGAAGCATGCTATGGTGCTGCTATCTGTTGTCATTTATTTACAAGTGATAATTTTATACGAGTTTGAACGATCATAATTTATCTTTTTTTTTTTTTGCTAGCTTGTTCTTTGTAATATGCAAATAGCACAGTACGTCTTCGGTATACAAAATGTATAGATGAAATACTGTTCTATTCAAATTTCAGATATTACGGATAAGTGTAAAAATAATTTCTGAAATAAATAAAATACATTTCTAATAACATTTTCTTACATGTTATGCAGTCTGGTCTCTAAATAAAAAAGTAATAACAAACCAACCTGATTTCAAATCTTGGCTTTCTAGTTGATGTTTTTCGTTCATTTCTATTTTGTTCTAACTTTACTTGAACGTATATGCAATTGTAATATGGATTAAGGCAAAATGTGTTTGTTAGATTTCTGTCATCACTAATACGGTGACACAGTTTATCAAGAGAATAACCTAGAAATTAACTAAAGTTTCTTAAAAGCTTGAATCATTTAATCGATATGATACAACACAAATAAATCAGATTCCGATCACATTTGAATATCGGGATAAGATAATTGGACAAAAGCCTTTAACAATATTCCTAAAGTTCGGCTGAGGTCACTTCCCCCCCCCCCCTCCATACCCTGTCTCGAAACTTTGTTCTGGTGTGTCACTCTGTTGAATAAACTGGCTACCAATGCTTGATAGTTATTATAGCTCTCAGCTGGAAATTATTTCGAATTGAGCCTATTATGCATCCCACGGTACCTTTCCATTACAGTCCGTTGGTTGCTCGATCGGGCAATGTTGTTTAATTGTCCAGCTAAATTCTGGTACTCCATTTGGTAGTGACATGATCGAATTAGCTTAGGAATATCCTACAGTGACAGATGGCATAGTAGTAGTAGTGGTGGTGGTGGTGTGTGTAGATCAAAAAGGTTCTTCTATTTTTTTTAGTAAATGGTATTCTAGGTTGGAATTCTTGGACAGGTGTGGCTGGTTTAATCTATGCATTTACCAGTTCGTTTTTTGAATGTTATATTCTGTCACTTATGTTTATTCCCACCTAATCTTATACTTCAATTTTGGCAATACAGTCTTTCTGTACATCTCCAATAGCTTCAACGATCTTGTCTACAGTGATATTTATTTCTGTTTTTTTTATTTGTTCTTTAAATATTATGTCTCTCTCTTTTCACTCCTCTTCAATTTTCTGTCTTTTTCTTTTTTTAATTCTCGTTCTCTATTTCGTTGGTCTTCTTTTAACTGTTTCATCATTTCTACTAAAGTTTCAATCTAAATAACCCTACTTCTGATTAATTAATTGGGTGGGTTATTTTGGATTATTTAGTAAAAATAATGCCAATCATGGGCCAACTAACGTTAACGAATTAATTCGTTACTTTTTTAACGTTTGGTACGGGTTATAGTGACTGCGACACAAATTGAAGACCTACTTTCACAAACAACGTTTAAACAGAAATTTCGAGACTAATGGTATGCGTGGGTCACAAACATAAAACTCGCTTTTGTTGTTGTTTTAAAGACTATAACAAAAATGATATCCGAATGCATAATAAATCTAACAATCTTGAACTTTACGATTGTGTGTTTGTATGCTTTGATTTTCTAATTACTATCAGTTCAGTCAACTTCGGTTCAAAAACAAAACATTCTAAACACATAATTTTAAGTAGTAATTTACAGTGAAAGTTAAAATTATCAGTTGTGTAAATATAAGCATTTTCAATCTGCTTTCTGTTCAGTTGTTATTTATAACACATAACTTTTAATTCATGGCAAAGGTACTGTGGCTAGCTGCTGCCATTCTTAATTTTGAACTATTAACCAGAAGGAAGGCAGCCAGTAAGAAGAGCATTATCACCCACTATCAATGCTAAGGGATTGACTATCACTTTTATAACGCACTGACAGTTTACAGTGAGGGGAATAATTTGTTATAACTCACGGATTCGAATCCGGCTCGCCAGCTACGAAATCCAGAGTTTTATGAAATGATCAACCCGCGTTCTACACAAATTGAAAAAGAGGTGGTTTTGTGTCAACGTACAGGGTGTTTATAAATTACACAACTTTAAAGAGGTGGTTTTGTGTCAACGTACAGGGTGTTTATAAATTACACAACTTTAATGAGGTGGTTTTGTGTCAACGTACAGGGTGTTTATAAATTACACAACTTTAAAGAGGTGGTTTTGTGTCAACGTACAGGGTGTTTATAAATTACACAACTTTAAAGAGGTGGTTTTGTGTCAACGTACAGGGTGTTTATAAATTACACAACTTTAAAGAGGTGGTTTTGTGTCAACGTACAGGATATTTATAAATTACACAACTTTAAAAGAGGTGGTTTGGAACCACTTTACCAACTGAATAGAATAAGAATTACATAACAAACAATTGTAACTTTCTGTATAATGAAAACACCTAAAGTTTATTGTTACCTCTGTGATCAATGGAGCCGTCAGTACACCTTGACGTTCGTGGTTCGAAGGATCCCAGGCGATTATCTACTTCCATTGTAATAATAACAGTCGAGTTACTTATTCGGGTACGTAACGTAGCCATATCCAGAATCTTCGTTATTTACGCAGTTTTCTTAACATAAAACCTTTTAAGGCTAGTGAGAAAAACTTGAAACGTAATCACCCATATATTGTAAGCTTAAACTATCTATCTGGCGTGGTTCCTATTCAATCCAATTAAGCAAATGGTGTGATAATTTATGGACACTGTGGACTTTTACTTAGTGTTTGAATGTCTAAATACGTCATTGTAAAGAAAATATTTTATCAGTTCGAAAGTAACATTGTTATGGAAAAGTGTCACGTGGGAATTTCTATCTAAGAGTAGGTTCCCACATTGGTTGTCAAAAATGACCAATAAAACAAAATTGTTTATGGTACATGAAAGCACCCACTGGGTGTTTCAATGTTTACAACTATCACTGTAAGAAATGTGCCCTATTTTGCCCGTAATAGTTCAAATGATCAGAAAGGATGCTGTGGATGCAAATATAGAATAACTTTTCGAAATTAAAAACAAATTCATCTAAACTTTTGACTTGTGCCGGACAACTTAAATGAATGTAATTTTCGTACTTTCCGTCATGATTTAAAATCGGATAATTTCAGTTAAAAACACTAAAAACAGATTGCGATCTTGAAATATTACATATTGATTAAAATATTTAACATGTTCTTAATCTATCCACGCCTTTTCTGTCATTTTTGCCTAAGTAACAACCACCATCAGGCGGAATATCAAACACAATGAACAGGCACGTAAAACTTATGTGAAGTCACATTCGAAAATCTTTTTATTCTATCATTCAACAAGAAATGACTATATATCACGTTACAAGAATGAAACTGTGTGTCATATATATATATATTTATCTTATTATCAAATGACTTGTGTGTAGAAACTTATATTGTAGTCATTCTGCTTTACTATAAAGGCCTGCCCTCTACCTAAATATTCCAATAATATGTTTCAAATTTCCACCTATACACTGAGCCTTTAAAATGTCCAAGTACAGAATAATGGATGATGGTTCTATGACAGTGAAATAATTATATTCCTTTCTACAAGAGCAATAGAAGAGTTAGAATCACTACCTATATAACCTCCTCATCAAATAACAACGGAGTTTCGAAGTTATATTTATTTATTACTTGGCCCATTATCTTTTACAAATTTTAAAACTCAGTTTTATGTGATTGAAATATTGCTAATACGTGGACACTATGTAGTACAAAAATAATACAAGTAAAATAAATGTGTCACAGAAAAACATATCTGTACATCCCTTTGACAATTTCCCTCTTCTCTCCTCTTAAATACCTTTATTCATTCTTCTTTTTTTTCACAAATACTAGCAGGAATAATGTAAACCTGCACGTATAAATTCAAACCACTGGTTTAGAGCCAGTGATGTGAAAAAGAAAATCTAGAATAAAAACTAAAAAAGACACAACTTGTTTGTGTAAAATGTTAGTAATACATTATAATGAGTACAATCAAATATTTTAAGACAACTCCAAGTCAAGACTTAAAAAACCATAAAATTGGTTCATATTTATATTACTGACATGACAGTTTATCTTGAGCATCACCAGATTTTAACACTAGCTTCTTCAGAATCAATATACTTGATCACTAATAATTAAAATATTTGTATGTGCATTGAACAAATTGAACAATTAAACAAAGTTCAATAGCATGTATTATTATACAAGTACCTTTACAAAATCGATTTTTTAACTATTAGAATTTCTGAAAAAATTTAAGGAAAAAAAACATGTATAACCACTACTTGTCATATGTCACACTTGCAACTTATTAAACAAGTTGAGTTATTTCTTTATCACACATTCATTACATATATTATTTTGAGTTACAAAAGAAGAAATAATATAATTAAATGTAAGTATTCCAACTATTCTATAATAAGTCACTCTTAACAATTATGTCTTGAAATAAAAGTGCTAAACTCTTCTACTTTATGTATATGGGTTTTACAATGTGTTTGCTATCTTTGGAGATACTTCAAATTTGTTTTTATTTTTCTAGGTTTAATATTTGTATTTCTGTTGAGAATTATGGTAAAACTTTGTTTTGGTTCTATGTTTTCCATTACACCACCTATAGCTTCCCAATTTTCAAAAACTTTTATATATTTTCTCAAGAACTTTGGGAAACATCAATACCCATACAAATAACTCAGAAGATTTATCTGAAGTCCTGATGAGAAACAGTGCTTTCAAAAATCAACCATATATAGTGGAAAATGAACAATTTAATTTTCTCAGCATATTTTTCTCTTTCTCTAAAATTATGGTGAAAACCAAAAACCTTTATAAACACCATTTCCTTTTCTATAGAATTCTTAAAAATAAGAATTAAAAATAGAGGCGAGGTCAAATTGGTTTAATAATTGAAATAATCTTAGCCACTTGAAATTTAACAAAACAAAATGCATCACTTCCTTGTTTCAAGCACATCACAAAGCAAGATTAGCCATATAATATTAAAACATCCATTTCAACCTAAGTTGAGATGAGCTTCAATATAATGAAGCCTGACTTCTCTGTCCTCAACATAAAAAGTTAAGATTTTACCTAATTTTAAGAATTAACACACAGACACACACATAAAATAAAAAAGTCTTCTTAACACAAATTAAGATAGTGATTTCATCTTTGGTATCAAAAAGTCTAAATTTAGCTCCTTAGATAACCTTGTGCCTTTTGAACTTCACAGCCATCAAGCTCATTCTACTGGCTTTTAATGCAACTTGAGGTAATCTTTCAAAACCTTTGAACTGAAAAACACAACAAAAACAATGCTGTTTGGTACTCAAGATACATGCATTGATTTTTTCTTTTATCACAAGATGATAAAGGCTATTTTTATGGCCTTATTATAATAACAAAGCAATACATTACTAAATATCTTACCAATATAAAATACCTAGTACTAGACAACCTCCAAACATTCATCATTAACGACAAAATAATATTCATTTGGCCTTTAATACAAAATTCTAATTAATTTATCATTATATTATAAAGCAATGCAATATTTACCTTTAGATAGCTACTAAAAATTACAAGCTACTAAAATCAAATGGTCAAATAAAAATGCAGAAAATAAAACTTGATATTTAATTTATCAAAACATACTTATTAAATTCAAAGACTCTGATCTGAATGTATTATCAAATTGAAACTTTAAAAAAATATTAACTTTAAGCTTTTATTCACTTCATATTAGATATCATAAGTATTAAAATGGTATGTATTGGTGAAAGCATTTTTCAGTAGACTGGTATCATATATCTACATTAAACAGAATTTTCATTTTCATAAATATTAACAAATAATGCTGAAGGTAAATTTAAATCTTTCCAAAAACACATGTAAGCATGTTTTTTTCTATGCTAAAAATACATCAGTTTATGACAATGGGCCACTTTTTTTGTGAACTTTTTTAGAAGAAAAACCCACATTTATTGTTTAGATGCTTAGTAAATATATATTCTAGTCTGGCATTTAATATATGAAACTTTCATGGACAACTGATCAAACATTCAATACATTTGGTTACTTTAGTACCATCACGGAACACAAGTACGCCAGTGCAAATAATGCATAATATATACATATGTAATATAGGTAATTAGATTATCTGTACGGAGATTAAGATGTCACATTCTTTACCTTTATGTTTATATTTCCTCACATATTTTTCAAACCGCTCAAATCACAGCACTTCAATTACTGTATATAATCCCCTTTTTTATGTTTCTATAAACTGAAGCCTTGTTTATGTAGAGCAAGATTAACAATTACATACTCTCAATTATTTAGTTTAACACCATATTGATATGTACTGCTAGATTTTGCATGGCATTCTCTCTACACATTTTTTTTTACTTCAACATGTATGAAAAAGTGAGTTTTTTTAAACATGGGGTACTCATAATTATAAACTTGTTTTACCCTGATTCATGATTTGACAAATTAACCTTAGTAAAAATCTCATTTTTTTTATAAAAGAGAAATTTTAACTTTTTTTATTGACATTTAAAGGAAAATGCCTCAGCCAGAAAAAAAAAACACTTAAAATAATCATTTAATATTTTTCTCAGATTGGTTGTTTTTTTTGTAAAATGGCAGAATTTTACTTATCATATAGAAAAAGATATTTTATATAATAAATAACACCATAAAATACAGATGTTCATTACATACTTCTTCCCAAAACATGCTAACGAAATGTCCAAGATTATGTGATGATTCATAAACTTGAAAAAGTACAAACGTATATAACAGTACTAAAAAAATGTTTATTTTGAGAAGTTAATATTTCATATTTCTTTAAGAAATATGAGTAAAACAAAATTAAGCTTGAAAAATTGTATTGACTCAATAAATTCCACAAATGATTCCTATGTAAAGTTACAGAAGTCTTACTACAAGTCTTTCTATTCTTTGGTTAAAATATATATATATATATATACATATACATACACACACACATTTGGCTTAAGTACTTAAAGCAACTTCTGCTCTTTGGTGTTGAGGATAAACCTGATGATTAATGAGTGACTTAGTAACTAGATTGCTTTCAAGTTAGTAACTACATGGGCTACTGAATGTTTAATCTAAAGTAGGTAATCAAGAAATTAAAACTGTTGCATAATATTATCTCTTTCTCTAATAATTCAAAATGAGAGATTAATCAATAATACAAAAGTTGCCATGAGAAGTTATTGTTTTGCTTGTTTATGAAAATGTCTGCAAAACGCACCTTCAGTGGATTGGCAATGAGAAAAAAACTAAAATTGGACCAATTGTTTAATGAAGATGGGGAAGAGATATTAGATGCACTCAATGGAGGGTTCCAGATGTCAAATGTTTGAAATAGGTTGAAGCTATCAGTTGATAGACTTGAGGTAATTGATGGGGGTATTGGAATCTGGAAATGAATAAAATATTTTCTGAAATATTATTACAACCTTTATCATGTTATAAAATAGATGTGCATTGTCAGGAACATACTAACAGATTTTTAAAATTAGAATAATGCACAATCTTTCTCATTCCATAATATTCTTTCAACATCATATGGAATTAATGATTAAAGACGAAATTATTGTAATTTCTTGATAAATACTATTTTTTTAATGTGAAAAAAATTCAATGTAACCAGGCATTTTACTTGTTATAATATGGCTATATAATGCATCAGAAAGTGATTTTATATCCCCTTCAACAGATAAAATTCAACTATTTAACTTACAAATACCTTTCTCATCTTTCTGATTTGAAGATTCTGAAAACTTAATATTAAGTCAGTTAATGCAATATAATAAAACTTTTATATAAATAAGTTTATATTTTGGTATAACACAGTAAATAACCAAAGGATGATGTATGAACTATTATCACATATCATAACCATGTAAAAATAAAGTATTAAACAAAAGGCCTTCCCCATTCATATGTAAAATGGGAATTACGATTGAAATTTATAGAATTTTTGGGCAGCAAATATTTTCAAGCTGTTGAGAAAGTTCAGTCATTATATTTTACTAAAGTCATAAAAACGTTTGAGCTAACATACACTGCAAACTCAATGATCTTACCTCAACAAACCCAGGCTCATCAAATACTTCCTGATTGCCTTCAGTGGCATTCAAATTAGCATTACCCAAATTCAATAATGAGTCAGTAAGTGAGGAACTGTTCTCTGTAGACCAGATACTAGACAAAGAATTCCAACTGCCATCTACAACAGAACTCCAAAAGTGACTAGAAGCTTTGGGCTGTGGTAGTCATATATGCAAAATAAAATTTTTAAAATTAACAACAAAATGTAATAGAATCAAGAAGAAAGATCTAAAGCATGGTATAGAGAAGTTAAAGACGTTTTACAAAATTTTTATCATTAGTCTATCAACACAGAATTACAAAAATATTCTATACGAAAGAAAAGTAGATTTAGAGAAGAAAAATCAGTAAAATAAAACTTGCACAACTCAATAATTGTAGCACTATTAGAAACAAAATATATTTTGCTACATGATTTGGTATAGGAAGTGCTTTTATATGATAGTTGGTTAAAATTTGAATTATTAAAAATATTTGTATATAGTTTAATCCTTTGAACAGTGCCATTCTTAGACAATTGTGCTACAGTTAAAAAATTTAAGTAATATTTTATGTTGCAAGTTCTAAGTTAGGGTTCCAATTTGTAAATGTTCATAAAAATATATCAAAACTTTCTCAGTGAATAATACTCATTAAAAAATTACCTTTTCAGTTTGCAAAAATATTTGGTCTATATCCTATGGGTAGGGATTTTAGCACTAGACTGTAAATAAAATTCTTCACAAATTGTTAAACTTACATATTCATTTGTCTGTAATATGGAAGAAACAGTTTCTTCATCACTGGTTACTACTGACTTCCACATATCTAGCACAGGAGTCAAGTCTGCTTTATCTGATAATACCAATGGGAGGTTGTAAGTGACAGGATAATTAATTTTTATGTTGTTAAAAAGATATAAAAATACTAACTTTATAAGATAAGATATGGCTTCTATCACAGTTGTTTCTAAAGTGCCAATATATACTGAATTCTGAGGAGTTTTAAAACTATCAAATTGTTACAAAACTGTACAACTTCAAAGTGAATTTCAAAAAAAAAAGTTTTTATACAAATGAATAACAAACTTTTAACCAATTTTCCAGATTTTTTCTTCCGTTTTGCATAAAAGCTTGGCATCAACAGCAACAATGTACGATATGTAATAAATTTTCAGAAAAGAGATGCAAACCTCAAAGTACATAAATTTCAAAATGGAAAGAGATATTATATTTAAGATACAAAAAATCTGACAAGCCTTTAGAGAACCACGTGTGGTTAGACTTTATACTGTAAAATGGCACAAGTATCTGAAAATGTGCCCACACATAAACATGCTTGAATGGACCTTTAAACATTAAATACACTCGTATATAGAAAAACAGCTGTAAAAAAAATACAAAAAAAATTAGAAACATATAATCTCACTGGTTAACCCAACAGCTTGTGTATTTTGATGATAGAAATCATGTCATGGCACAAAGTATCAACTAAAACTTAATGTAGCATATTATATTTACAAGGTCAAACTCTCTTCACACTAACTGCTATATGACAAGAGCTAACCTACAATACTCTGTTCCTATACTTACAATCTGTACTTTTAAAATTTCTACAACATGGTGGCTATAAAACTTGTACCGATTACATGCACAATCCTTTGTTTTATTATATCTATGAGTTTTTAATGTTTGATACGGGTGATTTGGCACCAGTATATCTGTTGAAAACTATGCCTTAAGGTTTACTAAATAACTTAACTTTGTATATAAAGCATCTGACAAAAATTATGATACATAGTGCACAAGGCAAGTTAACATAGAGTAATAAAGCCATTATTGTCTTGTTAAAAAACCACAACTAGTTTGTGATAACATGAAATGATTAGGTAGTTTTACTGACCAGTGTGACTAGGTAAGCATTAAAAATAAATAGATATGTAAATATATACATACATACACACACACACGTACACACTAAGTGCTTCAAGAACTCAAATATTTTTTCACAGCCAAAATATTTAATGATTTTGAATAAATTTTTCAAGAAAAAAGAAAACTAAATTAATATCCAAATCATGTAAAACAAAAATCCATTTATAAGTAAAGTTCTGAAAGTCCTTGTGGCAAGATATTCATTTGGGTGTTCCTCCACCCACTAACCCTTCTCACACAATGCAATAATATTTGTACAATAATTTATCAACAATGCTAAAAATAATTATAACAATAATACTAAACAAGTTAACTCAATGGCTAAAAATAGTCTTTTAAAACACTGATAGCTCTGCCTGTGTGCGGTAACTCACTATGCTTTTAACACACAAAACTAATGAGAAATAGAGATTGGTTAGTTGAAGGTAAACAAACAGCTTAGTTCATAGTGTCATCAGGACCATTTCTAACTCCTAACACAACATTGCCAAATCTTCCATTTCAAATTCCTAACATAGGTCAATAACTCATAAAAATTAATATTCAGATTACCTTCTTGTTCAATAATTGAGCAAGCTTTCAACTCTTCAAAACTTATTTGTCTCAATAAGTATCAATACTGTTGGTAAAAATTGTTTCTCAGTTGTAGTAATTCTGTACATTATATTGTATTTCACTATTATTTTAATGACATATGATATACTGCTTTTGGAAATACTCTGTTCAGATGTGTTCACTATAGTACTTTTAAAACTCTTCTTATTACATACCAGTTAGTCATGTGATGGTTAAAAGATTGCTCAGTAAATATTGAACACGGAGATAAAACCTGATTGATAAAAAAAAAAGTACCCAAAGTCAAGAATTATTGTACATTTTATATTATAATGTTTCCCCTTTTAATTTTTTCTGTTGGCCCTTCATTTCCCTATGTCTAAGGCATGCAGTAATTACCTCACTTATTCCACCTATATTTCTATGCCAATTCAAGGAGAAAAGTGTACACTAGATATTAAAAACAAACTATAGCTTCATGTAATACATCTAAAGAACAAAGTATTTACATATCCCCAAGATTTTTTTTAACACTGTTTTGAGTAGCTTTAAGTTGCAGTACAACTAGATATAATGCAATAAAAGAAACCAATAATGCTTCTTGTTTTAGTAGAATAATTTTTTTAAATACAGTCCAGTTTTTAAATGATTATGTTTTGGTTACTTTATCTTACCATCTATATCAGCTTCTGAATTATTTGTTGTACCATATTCTAGTTTGCCTTCAACATGAGAGAGCAACCAGGAAGACCCAGTGATAACAATCTCCTGTGAAAGATGTTGCTCTTCCAGTGATGAACTCATTCTATCAAAACCACTCCACTGGTTGTTTGGACAGCCGCTACTACAGTTTACAAAGGATTCACTACTGGTATTTGAAATGTCTGATGGTTTCTGTCCAATTGGTCCTTAAAAATTATGAAATAGTCAATGTAAATTCTTTTTGAAGTAATTCACAATAATTGAAGTAATGTCTCAGAATCTACATTACCCTTATAACTAGTCTTTCTTTTTGAGTTACACATTTTTTTATAATCTACACTTTTGTGTATTTAACAAAAATCATTTTCAAGCTTACCACATTTAAAGAAGATTAATTGCTTTGTTTCACTTCAATCAGTGCTCTTATATTAGCACTTGGTAACAGAAAGCACAGGATTTTCATAAAGAATTTATTTTTATTAATCAGATAGAGACTTTCTTAGTTTTCCTCTTGCTCGATAGGATAAGTAACATTTTAAAAATCTAGAGTGAAATAATGTTCAGAATGGGAGGGAGGAGTTGATTGTGAATGAAAGAAAGAAGTAAAAAATAGAAAAGGCTCCCTTACCATTTAGTAAAAATGTAAAAATTAAAAAAATGGTATGGTGACCTTGATATCAGTATTAGTTCAAGGTCTACCATGGAGTATTAAAATTTTACATTATGATTTATTAAAATGGAAGGAACAGGTTTTATATAAAATGTCATTCATTATAGGGGAAATCATTCTTGCATTTAGCATGGGTGTTGGAAAAACAAATCTGTATAATATATATATATATATATATATTGTAACCTTAAAATTGAATTTGGTCTGAAATTAACCATCAAATACAAAGAGTATTCTGCATAATTACTTCTCACATAAGCTGGATAACCGTATTCTTTCTCTCACCAAGCTCATTTTTATCAAAATTTTTTTAAGAACTGCTTAAAACAACTTCAGCCACAACAGCTGAATGCCACCTTTTTCTTTCAATGATAACTCAGTTTTATCTGGAAATTTTCATCTAATGGTTATGATGACTTCACTCAAAGAAATGAATACATTACAATTTATTACCAAGTAACTCTGAAGTATTGTTACTGATATCTGTGAATACAACAACTGAACATATAGTAAACATTGCATCTTACCTGAAACATGCGATGAAACATTTCCAAGGTTACCAGTAGACACAGCTTTTGATTTTGTTTTATTAAATCCTAAATCTCCACTAACTGCTGCAGAATAAGTCAAAGGTCGATAAGAGCCTGTAAGGTTAGATTGATTGAAGAACTGTTGCAACCATTATGAATAAATGTTTGTTTCTTAAACAAGAATTAAACAACTTCTGCAAAATAAACAAATAATAATCCTTCTCTAAAAGAAAAAATAGCATATAAGTATCAGAGTAACAAAAACAAATTAATTATGGTACAGAAAATAATTTACTTCATGTAACTAAAAAACAATGAAGGCAGCAAATTATTGCTTTATAACTTGGTTATTCAACTGGTGGCTCTTGGGTCACATCAAGCCAACGTATCAGTTCTGACAGGCCTACTAACTACCAGAGTGATGCTATAAAAAAAAAAAGTTTACTTTTGGTGCCTTTGACCCTGAGGCTTAGTTGCTTAACTCTTTCAGCACGGTCTCGTAACCATTTTGTGTCTGTTACAGTTTTCATGCTATAATTTTTAAATTAGTATGTGGATGTTAACAAAATTTGGCACATTATCAGTAAATATTACAATGCTTTCATATGCAAAATATCAAAAATTTTTATTAAGTCTTAAGGTTTATAAAGAAATTTTTTCTCACGCCTTTTTTTTTCTCTTCACATGTTGCCTATCTAACATGCAAAGTAATTTTCATTTTAAGATTAAAAATACTTTTATGCATCAGAAAATTTTCAAATTTCACATGTGAAATCTTTATAATGTCCAGATAGTTATCAAATGTTTCTTAAGAAAAAAGTTTTATATTTTATCTGTTATTTTCAGTAATGAGTCTCTGTATGAGATTGGTCAAATCTACCGAATTCGAAATAAATATAAATTAAGCCTCTTTCACTCTAGAGTGAACATAAATTATAACACGAAAATATAAATCTTTAGACTAAATAGCTTAAATCTCATAACATTGTACATTTATATGTATTTATTATATTGACTT